TTGTTCTCAGGAAATAATTGGACCAGCTGTGGTCTGCCCAGCATTTTGCTGATAGCTTGGGAATGAAATGAATATTGTGTCTCTGCATGAATATTGTGTCTCTGCCACGAGCAAATCACAGTCTCCTAAAGTGAGTCTGTGGGTGCCTTCTGTGCTGGAAAGAGACATCTCTCATTGCACTGCCCTCTTCAGAGCCAGGGAAATAACCAGTTTTCAAAAAGCTGTAGTTGAATATTATGTAGTCAATAGGATAGGCTGTTAATAGTGTGGAAGGTCATTATTGAATCCATATGTCCTTTGATAATGACATCTTTGTTCTGGAAACACTCTCTTGCGTCATCTGCACAGGTCATTAGAGATGCTGAGCATGACTTCTTGGTGTGTACTGAGTCTTGAAGGGGCTATGCTCAAGCTGTGCAGCAGTTGAGGAAGAGATTTCTTGGCTTTCCTTACAGTACCTCCCGTATCTCAAGCAGCTGACTGCTTCAGGGCAGTGAAAAATTTATGGTGTTGGGGGTTTTTGTTGTTGTGGTTTTATTTTGGGGGTTTTTTTGTTTGGTTAGGGATTGGGGGGGTTTTGTGGGTTTTTTGGTTGGTTTTTTGGTTGGTTTTAGTATTGGATTTTGGGGTGGTTTTTTTGAGTAGAGGAATTAAGTAGAATTTCTGGAAGGAGTTTTTAGCAGAGCAGAGGAATCAGTATAGCCTGTATCACAGATTTCAGATCTCCTGAGACCTGAGCTCATTCTCCTTCTGTCTTGAGAAGTGCTATTCTACTTTTCCCTTTTTCCCTGGTAGTTAGTGTTGAAGCGACAATAGATGGGGAAAGGTGTAAGGAGGAGGAGGAACTGATGACCCTTTGATTAATTTGTGGAGAACAACCAGATGCTGTTTCCTAAATGTGCAATAATTGGCAGAAACTAAGCAAAACTGGGTAAGACAAAGAGCACACGTTGCTTGTTAGGTGCATGAGTTGTATCATGGAGGTGCCTTTGAAGCATCATTGCATCTGGTTGACCTCACAGGCTTCATAGTTGAGAGTGTTTAATTTCATGAGCATTTGGCTATAACCTGTAGTCTCTGATTTTGACAGTAGGTCCCAGAACATTGTCTGGTACTTTTTGTTAGCTGAGCTTTGGCATATGTGAGGAATTTCTTCTTGGGATATCTATCCTGATACGCAGTGCTGCTGTGTCTTCCTCCTCATCTGTATCTGAAGAGCAACTGAGTGTCACCTCCTGCACAATGTCACAGATGTTTGTGTAGTGAAGTATTTCTTAGCAAACACCACTGCAGTCTTGGACTCCACTGCCTTCCAGATCATTCTCAAGTATAAGTCTTCCATTTGGTTTTGACCTAGACAGCTTTGCATGTTACAGATCTGTACCTGAGAAATTTCCTCCCACCTTACCAGGTGTCTCCTACCAATCATACATCAGTGAAAGGGAATGAGGCTGGAGGGAGTGCTGTCTTCAGCAGGGCTGTTTGCACCTGTTTGTGCTCTTGGTGCAGGAAAGCATGGGCATCCTGAGCTTTGGGAAATGTGCGTGAGTGGCAGGGACTTAGGAGAGGTGGTTTCTGCCCACTGCAACTACTCTATTTATATTTGTCTATCTCACATATTTCCCTGGCACCCATCACCTTGGCATGTTTCTCAGATGACCATGGCTTTTTTTATCTTCTCCTCCTTTTAACAGTGTTTTCGCCTTCTTTTTAAATCGGTCTTTAATAAAGTTAAGAATTTTTGCCCAGGGTTTTATAAACATGTGTTATTAAATTTTAAATCTGTTTTGAAAGTGCCTCTATCCTACTCCCTCCTAGTAAAGTGACCTTTTTAAATGGAGGGAAGTGGGTTTAGATGACAGTCATGATAAATGCGGTCATGTTCACTCAATAAAATAAGGCCCAGTGCATTTGAGGATAAATCAGTGAAATGTACAGCCCCACCTGTCTGTCTCCATCATTCATTTCCACTGTCACTTTCACAGTGGCTGATGGATCACAGTTGCTGTAAAATTAGACAGCCTTTAATCTCATTTCATCCTGATTAGCTTCTCCTTACCCTTTCCCTCTAACTCACTGACTGACACGCTAAAAACTCATGCAGGGCTGTGTTTGAGCGTGGCGTACAAACTTCTCTTCAAATACCCTTTCTGTGGGGCAGGCAGGTGTTCCAATGAGTTGAGATAAAAAAATGAGAAGATGGGATTTTCACACTGTTAAAGCCGAACAGCAGACAAAGACTCATATAAAATTAATGAAAGCAGCAGCTTGGCCAGAATGTGTGATGGGCCAAATTCTTCCTGTTACACCCTGGCAAGCCCAGTGAGTTTGAGAAGATTGCTACTACCAGATACTGAATTTAATATGCCCATTGCCATGTAATTTTGACTGTTGTCTATGAAAGTTAGGTCCTATCTGGGTGTATATTCACAAGAATCATGGTTTTTAGTGCAAGTTTTCTGTGCTTTCAAGGGATATTTTATAACAACAAAAAAAAATTGTTCTTTTGATTTCTGTCTGTAACTCCCAGTTCTGAGGGGTCAAGGAGAAACACTGTGAGGTGGTTGATTTCTCAGTTGGAGTCCCTTCCCTCTTAGATGTCCACAGTGCTGCTCCATTCTCCCTGTTTTGCCCAGCTCCCTTCAGTCCAATGGGTAGATTCATGAGACTAAGAACAGTTTTCCCCAAAGCTCTGAGAGAAACAAAGGTCACAGTAAAGGTCTGCAGTGTTTTATTGCAGTCACCTTTCTTTCTGAAGGCCAAATACTACCCTTCTTTCTAAGGCAAGCCTCCTTTTAGCTTTCCTGTGAGTTATGGACGGTAGTTTGGGTTGTTTGGGCCCAATCCTGTATCAGTGGGAATGTTGCCATCAATTTCAGTAGGAGCCAGGATTAAGCCATTAGTTTTCAAGGTTTAATTATCATAATAATTATGGGAGTCTTATTGCATACCTCATATGCATGGTAACAGCAGAAAAGCTTAAAGCAGAATTTCTTCCTCTGCTGATTCTGTTTTTGTCAATATGGTGGATAAATAAACATAAATTTTTGCAAAAGTGAAAATACAATGGAAAAAAATATGCATGTGTGCTGCCTGCAGACAGTTTTTCCTATAAATGCTGGAGCTCTTCAGACTGGCCAATAGAAGATGTTGAGGGTGCAGCCAGCAGCTTGGACCTAATTGGAAACCATAATAAGAGCACTGTATTACTTAAAACTTGAAGCTCTTACAGACTGATCCTGAGGAGTCTCTTCTTGAGAGAAAGGGTCTCAAAAAACATCTAAGAAAGGCAGCAAATTTCTCATGAGAGACCAAATTCTTTATTTACCACAAGCATCCACAAAATCAAGAAAAGTTCTGTGGTTTTGAGAGAGAAGATTTTAAAATAGGAAAATGTCTAAGACTAAAGAGTGAGATAATGATGATATGGTGTCTCAAAAGACAGCAAAAACAGACCTCATTCTTTCATCACACTGTAGGAATCTCTAGGTAGTATAAAAATCTTTTGCAGTGAGATTAGTTCCCAGTTAATATAAATTAAATGAGTAACAAATAACTTTAATTAATGAACTTTCACTGTACCTGGCTGCCTAATTTGAGAACTGCTTCACTTACATGACTTGTAAGAGCACAGACTATGAAAAAGATATTCGACCTTCACTAGAAACTAAAAACATACCTTATTTATTCCTCATTGCCTAGGCAAAAACTTCAGTAAGAAGCTGAAATGAGCCCACTTGATCTTTAAGAAAATGTGTCCTAAATAGCAAAGCTGTGCGTATTTCTTCTTATTATTATTTGCATATGCTATACTGCACAACTGCATTCTGAGAAAAATAAAAGATAATAAAACAAATGAAATGAGAGATATATCACCCAAAATAATCCAAGTGTGAGATAGGCTGCCTCTCTTTTTTTTTTTTTTTTTTGGCATTGGCAAAAGAGCACAAAGTAAGAGCTGGCCCTGAGTCATATTGATTTCCCACTGCACTGGTTTCCTAAGTGCTCTGTTGATCCGTGTCAAGCAATAAGTTCCCTGCCTGTACATGCACATCACCTCCCCATTTGTCCTCACCTAGATTTAAGGTGCCCATATGATGAGCTGAACAAGGACATCATTTTTCCTACTGGTGCCACTGGGCCAAAACTACTCTATGTGGTATAGTAACTAATGCTGTATAAGTTTGCATTTTCCATATAATATCATAAGTGGGTATATAATATCATTAAAGTGGGTATGGCACACTGCAGTAATATCTGTGCCATGTACATCTAATCCTTGTTTTTGCATTTTACCATTTGCAGTGGAAAAAGTAAATATTAAGAAATAAATGTTTGCATCTGTAGCTCGTCCATAGTAATCATGATACCTCTCCCCCCCAAAGAAGGGATGTTGTAAACCTAATGCCACAGTTTTGATCTTTGTTAACAAAGGGCTTCCTGATTAGATGAATAGAAGATGTGTGATCGTGCTGCTAATGACATTGTACAGGAAATTAAGCGTATACATTTGGAAAAGGCATTAAATCAGCAGGACCTTAATTTAAGAACTTAAAACTGTATGGAAATGCAGCTTGTTCATTGCTGTGTAATAGAAAGCTACTGAACATACTGACTCTTCTTGTGGAAACATTACCAGCAGAACAAAGCATGGCTGAGGTTTTTTTAATGTTTTCTAGCATACTAGGATTCCTAGCATCTGCTTATTTTCAGGGAAATATCATGCAACTTCCCTTTTACAAGTTATTTTTAGATCAGCATGTATGGTACTTGGGCAGGTGAGGGGGCACTGAGGGACCAGAATTCCTGATTTTTTCCTTAATTTATTTGCAACATTGAATTGCATAAGTTTACTAATAAGTGGCTTTGTCTGCTGCTAAAGTCAGTGTTCATACATGCCTGGGGTGACATTCTCATATTATTTCGTACAGATGGTAAAGAGGAAACATTTGATAAAATCAGTGTCCTGAGCTGACAAGGAATTCTTGCTTTGTTTGCAGTTATGCCATACAACAGTGCCCATCACTGCGTCGTGGAAGTGGAAAACTTCTTGTTCGTGCTGGGAGGAGAAGACCAGTGGAACCCTAATGGTATGTACAGAACTCTAAAAGGCAAAGGGAGCATCTGCCTTCCTGTGCCTCCCTGGCTGTCAGGTCAGCTGGTGTAGTGATTAGCAAGGGATTTTGAGGACCTTCAGCCTAATTATTGAACCTAGTAAAGGCTACTCTTTGGTATTGATGTAATAAATATTTGGTACTTTAGCATTAGCATCTCTGTCATTCATCAGCTCCCACATCCCTTGAGAAATGCCACAGGCAGCAGAAGAGACTCTTTCAAGTGCATGCACCAGGCAGCAGCTGTTAAGAATTTTAACCTTCATTTCCAGGCTCCTTCCAGTCATAATATAATAATGCAATTGCAGTAGATGAATGCTTCTTTTCTATTGTCAAACAAGATACTTGCAGCTCAAGTTGTTAATGTGTTAATTATCTAGACTTTGAGATTCTTAAACTGATCCTTTTTTCAGTCTTGTGCAAGAGCTTCTCATATAGATTATCTGCTGCTACCTTCTTTCATTTGATTACTTCATAAATTTACCACAAAGAGAAATTAAACAATTTAACAGGCTTCTGAGCAAAGCAAAAGGAGAATACCATGCCTTGCAAAATTCACAGAATTGTCAAGACACTGTTAAAAAGCTTGCACATGAAGAAAGAGTTGTAGTTGTAGCAGTCTGTGTAACAGAGATAATTATGACTGAGAAACCATAAAACAGCTTGCAGGTACACATTTTTACTTTAAAACACCAGAGGATCCAGCTGAAATTACATATACTGCATATATTTTATTGTGAATGCCCCATTGCAGCATCTGCACCAAACCAAATTATAGAAAATTGTTACATCTGTTCACTCCCTAAAACCTGAGACAAACAATCCAGGCCACCCTATAAGCATGTTTCTGGTGTAGTTAAGAATATCACTATATGTCTTAGGAGAAGGGCCCCTTAGTTCTGTTGTTGAATATTGCTGAATGTCTTTAATTAGAAGCAGGAGACAGCGCAGTGTCACTAATGACAATTTCTTTTAGGATTGTCGGCCACATCCATCCAGTGAGGACCCCTGTTGTATTTGGTGGTAGGCATATGGACAGGCAGACCTTGTTCCAGACAGTTTATAATTAAATAGCCATGTTACATGAAGGGTAAAAGAAAAGAAGTGTAATTACCCACATTTTGAAGATGTGGAAACTGACTTGCAAGGTGATGGAGAGATGGTAGAAGGGGTGCATATCTTGCATTGGAGACAGGAGTCAAACACAGTTGTTTGTAAGATGAATAGTACCCAAGGCCTGAGATTGCCTAGATCTGGGTCAACTGGGCTGAAGATGTTGATGAAGACATCTTCCAATTTCCCTGACCTGTGAATACCAGTGCTGGGATTTTTCTATTGAGAAGATAGCCATAACAAAGGTATGAGCATTGCTGCACTGATCTCTTTATCAAATGGATCTTGTCACTGAAAGTGAACCTGAAATCATAAACTACATCCTGTGCTGCGCATATTCTTTCTTGTAACCATTTTGCTCTAAATGTGCAGCTACATGGGGGCAGCTCACACATGCCCACTTGAATTTATGTAAAGGCCCTTGTGTGCTATCCTCAGAGCACAGGAGGGACTTCAGGTGGACCTACTTAGATTCATCTTGCCGAGGCTTTACAAAGCTTCTGCTTCAAATTAGACTGTTCCAGGTGTTTTTTCCAATGTAAAGAGTTATATTAGAGATGGTGGCAACGGTAAGGCGTTGCTTTAGCCATCAAACCATCTGGTTCTTCAGAAACTGTGTGGACCCCAAGGAGTGCTCATGCCTCCTTCATGCTCCACTGACTTGCTGACAACCCACAAAGTATGGGAGACATTTTTCTCACATTTTTGCATCCTCCAGTAGCTATGCCTTTCCAGTCACAAGGGGTTCTTGCATGAGTAAACACTGATGAAAGCAGGGTGCACAACATAGGCATGGATTTAAGACCAACCTTCATAACCTTCAGAGCCATCACCTTCTAGCATGGCTGCAGAGCAGAGAACAGTATCTGCCTCCTTTTGTGCCATCATCCGGATTCGCTAATCCTGATTTTTGTTCGCTCGTCCCAAGTTCTGTGTTCTGACAGAATGGATGCATCCTAAGATGTGCAATCTCCTGGCTGATGAGCAAAGAAAAACATAGAGTTCTCTTTCAAACTAAACTCCAGACTTAACCAGTTACATCAGGCAGATTAAGTAGGTCACCAAGTCCTTTTCCTGCAGTCACAGGCATCATACAATCCCATTTTGTAAATTTTCTTAGCTACATTTGAAAAGCAGTTGGACTTCCAGCCCCCACTACTTCTCTTGAAAAGCTGTTACAGAATCCAATTGCTCTAAATGACTAGGAGCCTTATTCTGATACCCAACAAAATGTATTCTTTGACTGTCTAAATCACCTTCGTCTCAATGCCAAGGCTGGCCTTTAGTTTAACAGTTTTTCCCCTCCTGGAGATTTGTTCCCCTAAAGTATTACAGGCAGCACTCCTATCCCCTTTCAGCTTTTGTATTTCTAGGTGCAACAGGCCAAGTTCTTTGTCTCCTGCCATAAGGTAAACTTTCTGTTCTTCCTGTTGCCATAGTAGCTCTTCTCTGTGACTGTTCTAGTTTGATTTCATCTCCCTTCCTGTGAAGGACCCAGATTTGTATCCTGCACTCCCAGTCTAGGCTAACTAAACCCTTCTTCTACCCTGCACTTTACAATCTTCTACATACATGGTGTTTGTAGTGAGTATGTGTATGACACATGTTAGGCAGCCAAACTGTAGATCTGTATGACAACAATGAACAAGCTGTTGTATAACTAATGAGCACTGAAGTCCCAGTAACTCTGAAGGATGTAGTTTAATACAACAGCCTTAAAACCTAAAAAAAAAAAAATAGAATTTTAAACTTAGGATCAATATTTATATTATTTTGAATTCCTGCTTTTTGGAATACAAAGAGATTAGTAAATGTCTTAGACAATGGAACCTAGAACCTGTTCAAGCTTGCTGTTACTGTTTTGCTGCTTATGGAATTTATAGCTCTCGACGCCTCTTTTTCTAAATTGTCCGTGTAAACTAAAGGAATCCAGATAAGGACCAAAAGCAAAGCCTCACTTGACTAAGCCCAGTGGCAGAAGGTCCAGTTGCCCTTACAGTAGGGGAATCTCACCCTGTGTCTTGAGGTGGTGCTGAGATGGTCTTATCTTTGAATGGCACTCAGCATGGTCCTCGTTAGGCACCATGCTGGATTTGAAGGGAAATGCTGCATTATTCATCAGTCTTCTGCTTTACCCTCCTCATATAGAACATGCTTATAACATGGCTGGGGAATCAGTTTACTTCCAAAGAGGTCAGTGTGGTTTCTTTCTCTGTTTTCTTGTAGAACATGAACTTAAATTATTACACTATAAATTCTAGCTGTATTGTTATTCTTCTCTACTGTCTTGATGGTGTATTTACACATGCTGAAGTAAGTGTGGAATGAAGCAGGCAAAGCGAGCCAATCCTGCAGAGGCTTGTCTGATGCAAAAATATTCACCTTGTAGAATGCCCAGTGACCATTTATAGAACTGTGACATACGCAGTTAGGTTATTCTGCTGGCCTGTGAAGCCTCTAATTCAATTTTTTAGTCACACATACATAAACAAAGGTTTCTGTTTTCAAAATGCTCATCTATTGAAGTCTCAGGTGTTACAGGAAATTGCCATGCACTCTCTTGCTTCAGTTTTCTTGCTTTGGTGTCAATCTGCATGTAAAATAAGGTGAAATCTTAATATCGTGAAGACATGAACACAGTTCTTGGGCTTGACAGCAGGGAGAAGCTAGTTAGCTGGTGTATGTTGCTCATGCTTCATATTTTAGCTAACAGAGTTGGAATAAAACTCTGAAGAGTGTATTCCCCCTTCGATGCACATCTGTAATTCCTTCTAACTTACACTGAAAGTACATGGTAGAATAAACTATCCAGTGCAAACACTGCATACCCCATGCTGATGGCTTATGCAGCTCCTGGTTGTTTGCACAATGGGTTTTTGCTATGTTCCACACAGAGAGGATGTAAGGAGAAAGAAAAGAACGTGTTCTCCCTTTAATTTTTTTAACCTGACAAAATTCTAGTCATAAAAATACTGTGGGGATGCCCTCTTTGGGCAGTAATTTTGTTTAGTGCCGTGATTTATTGTGGCTGTGAAAATACCACAGCTTGTGTAAGTAAATTTAAATACACATTTTCAAGATCTTATTACAAAGACCAAGAATAATCGCTATCTGCTTTTACTGCTAGTGACTGCTAATTCAAGCCTTGCAGTGCCCCATTTGTTGAATTATTACTGTACACACAGTGTAATCATACATTGTTGTAAAAGGGGGAACCCTTCATAAAAGGTGTCAACTTGTGAAGTATATGTAATATATATTACAATCATGATGTTAAATACATGAAACAAACAGCTGAGTGTCAAAATAATCTATCTTTACAGGGAAACACAGTACAAACTTTGTTAGCCGATACGATCCCAGGTTTAACAGCTGGATACAACTTCCACCCATGCAAGAGAGGTAAAAACCTGCTATGTGTTTTTCAATTTCTGTTTTCTCATCCTAGGGGCAGCTGAGGTTTGGCTTAGTTCTGGGAATAAGGAGGCCTATAGAAGCATTGAAAGCACAGACAAAGCTGCAGCATGCAGTTGTGTCCCATTTGCTTCTAATTTTTAAAACTTTCCAAATTTGGAACTCCAGTTGCCAAGTCCTGCAGTGCTAACTCATGCAAAAGCCATGGACTTTATGCAATTACTGGTTGCCTGAGTACGGTCTGAAGGATTTTTCTGAAGTCTCCATAGTGTCCTGTCATGTTCCCTGACTGAAGTGTCATGATGAGTTTGGCAGTAAACAAGCAGTAATTATAGTCAGATATCTTAGAGGGAACTGAAACCTTCACATGTTGACTCCATCCTGTTTCACCACACCAGCTATGAAAAGCTCTCCTGAACATGTCTCCACTTGTCAGTCCTAGGTGGTCTTTGAGTGAAGTTGCTGTCAGTAAATGCATATTAGAGTAGCTTGTGTTTTAGTCTAGCTGTGTACCAAAAGCAAAGGTGGATGTGGACTCAAGCAATGACTTATAAAGATGATGTAAACTGAACTGTGGATCCCAAATGCCACCCTCACAGGAAAAAATTCCATAAACCTGAACAGAATTGTTCATGTTTTGTAAGAAGAATCTCAAAGGCAGAAGATCCAAAGTTGCAATGTTATTTGAAGAAAATATTCAGTGTCCTTCCTTCAGTTTAACACCCATCTTCTCATGGATCCCATGTACAAAAGATCTCACAGTGTCTCCCTCAAATGCTTTCTTTATTCCATGCCACTATTACAGTTCTTTTTTTTGTTAACTGTCTACACTATTCAGGTGTCTGGCAGTCAGAAATATATTGAATTCAGTGCAGTGTTGTGATTCAAGGTGTGTCTTATGAGATGCTTGGAAATATGACTGTTTTTTCAAATTTCCAGGGGTAAAATGTCAGTCTGCAGAATTTTTGAAGGACCTTTGTTCAAGATTCAGTTTGACTGACCTAAGTCCCTGCTTTGGCAGCACCTAGCCTTCTCCCTCATTCCCACCAGCACTGTGGGATAACCTTCACAGCTGTGATTGTTTACTTTAAAACAGAGGGACACCTTCCCCTCTGGTTCAGCTTCCTAGAGTGAGTCACCGCCAGTTTAGGTGTTGGCATGGGGGAGGAAGGAGGTGGGAATCAGAGTGGGCATCACCAGGCAAGTCATCCTTGCTGAGCTGGGAGACTGACTAGGAGACCAGCTGGTGTTTGTATGGAGCCTGGAGCTCTTCTGTGGAGCCTAATCTGAGTTCTAATCAGGCCCTCTGGGTATCTCCGAGCCAGATTCCTGAGGGGCATTGGCAGCTGGCTGAGCAGTTGGGTTTATTTGGCTGGCAAACTTCAGAAAGCAGAAGTAGGGAGCTGAGGGTCAGAGAAAGGAGGCAGTAGGAATTTTCCTACCTCCACATTGGCCAGTTGTGTTTCCCTGGAGAACCATGCAGCAGGTGACTGGCTCTGTGCTCAGGTGCTGCCTTCAGCCAAGAGTCCAAAACTCAGCTGTGCCCCCCACTCCTGCCTGTAATAAACTGTAATGTATGAACACCACAGCTCCCTGCAGAGGGACTGGAATACAATGGTCCACTCATACATAGTTCCTTCTGCAAGGGGCTTTGCTATGACAACCTTAATTGTCATCTCTTTTGTTCAGGATACATAGCTCATGGGCTTGTTTTTCTTTAAAAGCTCCTAAGCTTTAGGGCTATTGTTGGAAAAAAGAGATTTTACACTCACTTTCTAAAATGTTTTTGATGGTTTGTTTGCTCAGTCCTAACGACTTCCTCAGGGTTATTGCAGCTTCCAGTGGTATGGACTGGCCCAGTTTGTAGAAGATCATGCAAATAAGAGAGAGCTTTTATGCAGTTTTCTTTCCTAGCTCCTTTAGTGAGATAAAGTTCCCATTAAAGTCAACAGGCTATTTTCCCCCTGCAAGGAGTACAGGCTCATGCCCTGTCTCTGCTGGCATAATGCAGGCACCATTGACAAGACAGACTGTTAAATGGGTTTTTCTGAGTCATTATGGTCCATCAAGTCAAAACCTATTTAGGAATTTTAGTCTGAGAATAATTGGCTGCATAGACTATAATAACTCCTTTGAAATGACTGCCAGGTAAATGTGGGACTCATTCACAGGCAGTATATTCTCAAGTCAAAAATCTGTATGAAATATTTGATAAGTAAACTTTTATCTCACATGCCAGAATCCATATCTGATTGATTTTACTGTGTGAGCTATAAAGAAAAGTCTAATCCCATCATAGATTCAATGTTGCCAGTGTATTTTCTTTAAAGCTGAGTTTGGTTCCTTTTCCCTTGAAGAACATCCCAAATATAAACACTTTTGAAAAATACATACTATTTTCAGGAGCTTGTTGTTTAGAGAATCAGCAAATGACTCATAAGCTTTGGAAATACACATCTGCCTGATGATGCCATAACAACTGGAAGCTTTTTGGAGAACAGTTCAGTTAGACTACAATGGCTACTGAAGGAGCAGTCTTTGTAGCAGTTGTATCTGAGCTTGAGGTGTGAATCTCAGCTGGACACCTCAGGCAGAACTGTTGCACCTTGCCAGCTCAACACAGAGCTTTTCAAGGTGTGTGGAGCAAAACAGTATTTGAAACATCTTTCTTTTTCTTATATTCTGAGTATAACATTTTTGTTTAAAGACCAGCTAAAAGCATGGTATTGTACCAAGTTCTGAAGAAGCACAAGTGGAAGTGGGAAGGGAGCAGGTCAGTGTAGTCTTTGAGGCTGAGAAAAGGCACAGAAAAAGAAATATAAAAATTCACATTTTATTTTTGTCTTTGGCTTTAATAATAGTAGCGTCAACCCCTATTAGGATTATTTATTTTTTAAAAAGCAAAGCATGCTATGCTACTCTATAAATTACTCTGAAATCAGGTCTAGATATTGTGACAATCAGTAGCAGCACTGGTAAATTTAAATCTCAGACTGGTAGATCTGTTTGGTGTTTCAGGGCATAAATTCATCATGTGTGAAAATCATGAGGAAAATCTTCCCTTTTATATGTGTATACTTGAAAGAAGTTGGTTGGGTTGATGGTTGGGTGAAGGGGTGTGAAGGAAAAGCATTTAGGAGACCAGTGAACATCAAGTACTTTCAAGTCCTGAGGAAAATCACAAAATAATTGTCTTATTGTCCATATTCAGATCCTGAGGTACATTCTAGTTACCTGATTAGAATGGATAGTGTCTTGCATTGTCATGCAAAGATTGCTGTATTACAGTTTAATCCGAATCATATTTTACAGCAGTTTAAAAGTCATCACTTGACAACATGCCTTTGCATGCTGTAACAGCATGCCCTTACACACTGTATCATTGTCAACTAAAAAAACCCCAAAAGCTTAAAATATTTGTGACAGAAGGTACTGAGTGAATGTTCACATCCAAGCAGAAGAGTGAAGTATGCTGATGCTTTCATTTTTGCTCCTTATAGTGACACTGTGTGGATGAAACCAGGAGTACACATACAGAATATCGTCAGTGAAAAACTAGTTAAGAGAATAGTGTATGCAAGTTGTGTCTACCTCTATTTATTAAACCTGACCAAAAAAAAAAAGGCAAAACATGCTGAGAGTAGTTTGTTAATGGGTTCAGCAGAGAAGGTCAGAGGAGTGGATGTGGGAGCGCTGACAACAGGCACCCTCTGGTTTTGTGCTTTGTGGTTGCTGGACACAGGAGGGTTGAAAAATGGGTACCTGACTATGCAGGCACTCTCATATCTAATAGGAGGTGACCTCTGCAGCTTTTCCTACTTTTGGGGCAACTGTATGCTGTGTTGCCTCTGGCCCATCCCATATTCTCAGAAAGCTTATACACACTTGATTGCCTGTAACACCTATAGCCTCTGTCAAATTAGAGTGAAATCAGTCAGCAAGGGGTTTTTTTTAAGAGACAACAGTAGTCAGACATGGGTACATGTACAGTGTAATCAAATTAGCTTTGTTTCCATAGAATATCAGGCTAAAAACATAGATGCACAATTTGCTGCCCGACCATGCAGAGCAGAATATGCCATCAGCTTCTATCTGCCCACTGACAGATAAATTAAATAGTCTTTTTTAATTCATCAGTTGATCTGGAGACACTTGCCAGTATTCTTGTCCTGCTATTTCCACCGAGTTTTTTTTCAGAAGTCTTCCCTATGGTGGAGCTCCCAGCCCCACTCAGAAAGGGGTTCTGTCCCACACCATCCAAGTTGCCCATGTGCAGGCAGGGTGAAAGCAAAGAAGTGAACAGGAGATGTCCAGTGACCCTGGCTGGTGAGAAGCCCTGTCAGGTGTGCACCAAATCCAAAAAGTAAGGTCAGAAACTGGCAGTGATGCATCAAATCTGTTGCCTGGATGCCCAGCCGGCCCTGCTGTTTCCATGGCTGTATCCCTTGGTGTCTGCCTGACTTCTCTTCCAACTTACAAACCACCAGCCAGTCTCAGACTTTTAACTAAGAGGAAAATTTCTCCAAAAGGTTAAAGGATGCTACAAATTTTGTGAAAATAGTTAGCTGTGCAAAAGAGCAAGATCTTATTCTTGCATTCACTGAAGAAAATGCTCCTGAACATGCCTGGCTAGATGCCAGGTTAGGGACAGGGCACACCAGACTTTGCCAGCTCACCTGGTCACAGGATGGCTCTCAGGAAGCCCGGGAAGGAGTTGGACATGGAAGCTGTTCACTGATGATGCTGTGTGTGCCACTGCTCATCCAAATGCTTTGCAGAGGTCTGCAGGTTCAAGTCCTTGATGGTGCAGCTGACCATCAAGGCCCCAAGATTTAGTGCATGATTCAGGAGTGAAATCTGCAGCTGCTCCCAGATTCAAATTAAGGCATCTGGGCAGGAACCAGAGTGCATTGAATCAGCCACAGAGCAAGTTTTGGCAAGCTACAGCCACACTCCAGAGTGCCTGCTTTGCAGGAGCTGTCAGAGCTACACTTTGCTGTGCCTGGCCTGCCTGCTCATTTCTGGGCTCCCATGTCATTCTGGTTTCACTCAGGAGAAAACTTTATGTTGGGGACTGACAACTCTTCTCCTTCAATATTTTGTTCAGCTCTTCATCCTAGCCCAGCTGTGCTCTTTTGCAATTTTCTTTCTCATGTTATTGCAGCTTGAAATGAAAGGTCTCTAGCAAACCTTCCTGTTGCTGAATGATCCAGGGAGCTTTCCCCGGAGTGGATTACACCAACCGAGGTCTCTCAAAATCATCTACTGCTCAATTTTTACTTCAGCAACAAACACTCACCATTGATTTTGGAGGCACGAGGAAGACAAACTAATATAAGCTTGACAGTCCTCGCCAGAAAATCTAATTGTTTTCCTACACACCTGAGTTGCATGTAAAAGCAGACAGGTGGCTAAAACTTTCATCGGGGTTAGTTGGATGGAGACAGACCTCATTTGAGTTAAAGGGTGGAAATGTAGTGTTGTGGCTAGCATGAGGAAAATTGTTCTATTTGCAGTACTGCAGAAGGAAGAAAAAAATGATAATTGAAGAAAAATTTTGATGATGTGGTTCTCTTAGTAAATTGGGAACAATGACCCTTGAAGGACCATAAAGAAAGTGAATGTCAAGATAATTTATTATTGTTACATTATCTACCTCATTTTTCACTTTGTCTTACTGAGTTGTTGTATCCCTTACAAGGTAATGCCCCATACATTAATGAGCACCTTTTTATCTTTCACGGGTGTGAAAAAGAAACAAACAGCTTTGAGAAGGGGTATTTTCTGGCCGCTTTATGTTTGCCTAATTGTTTTGACACAAAAAATGAAGTATTTTTTGATGTGGAGTATTGTGTATTTGATTAGCAAAGCAGCCACAGTCTCTAGGATAGCTGTAAGCACGTGAAGCTTCCTGGAAGCTACTTCTCCCTGATGTAGCATTTGAAGGAGCAGCTCTCTTAGTTCAGGGAGTCAGCTGGAGAGGGGAAAGGAATGTTTGACATGGCTAATTGGTTTGTTGTTGGCTTGTTTGTTTTGCTCTGCCCTGTCCTCCAGGAGAGCCAGTTTCTATGCCTGCCGCCTTGACAAGAACTTGTATGTCATCGGTGGAAGAAACGAAACTGGCTACTTGTCCAGCGTGGAGTGCTACAACCTGGAGACAAACGAGTGGCGCTACGTGTCCTCGCTGCCACAGCCCCTGGCAGCCCACGCAGGAGCCGTCCACAATGGCAAGATATATATTTCAGGCCAGTGTCTTGAGTAATTCCTGCTGTATGACAAGAAAACCAGCCCAAAGCCACCATAAAAATATAAACAAACAGCAGAACCCCAAAACCAGAGAGCTAAATCCCTGCTGCAGCACAATGCCTTTATTTCTATTAATGAGCTGATGTGTATTTACTGTGCAGGAGGTGTTCACAATGGAGAATACGTCCCCTGGCTGTACTGCTATGACCCTGTGATGGACGTCTGGGCCCGAAAACAGGACATGAACACAAAACGAGCAATCCACACTCTGGCTGTAATGAATGATCGACTGTATGCAATTGGAGGGAACCATTTGAAAGGTCACATTTTTAATAGCAAAAAAGTATCTCAGTGTCCCACATCTCTGATAAAGAATATTTTTGTTAGGCAGTCACTGTTAAATACATTGAAAGCCAAGCAACACAATTTAACAGGACACTTGAGCCAGCAATTTTAAAAACATTTTATGCAAATTATTTTAAAATTATAACAGTACATTAAATATATGAGTAATGAATGCTTTAGATAATAAAAATGGGAGCTTCCATTACTCAAAAGCATGGACAATTTGTCATTACCAAGAATTCAATGAAACAAACAGATTATTCTTTGACCCGAAAGTACCAGCAATATTTTCCTCTGTAAATAATTTTCCAAAATGTGCAGTTAAAGAGAGCTTTATTCAGAGCATCACACAAAACCCAAGCTCCTGATTTAATGAAGAGAAAAAAAAAGCAAACTTCCAGCCATTAAATAATAGGACTAGGCTCTTTAAATCCCTTTTTAGTATTAAATGCAGCTTGTTTATTATAATTCTTTTTAGAGGTCTCTTGTTTTCATCTTTCGAAAAGGTCTCCTATTAAAATAACTATAGCTTAGGCATTTGGTAATTTTATCTTAATATCTGTATGTCATTGATGTTAAAGATGCTTCTTAATCCAGCCACTTAGACAAAAAGCACACCTCCTGCTCCTTTCTCCTGTGATAATACTTGATAGTTTATATTCACTTTTTTTATTCTTTCTCCTTTAATGTTGAAAACCAAAAAAAATAAAATACTCCCAACAACAAAAGATAAAATCATAATATAGAAGAAAAAGTCAAAAAATGTGTTAACTGCAAGTAAGACCAGGTCATGTCTGACTCCAGTCCCTGGGTCCCCATGACACTGTAAAGCCACATGCTGCTTTTGGAGAGCTGAGTGTCTGTGGAGCATGCCAGGGACAGTCCCAGATGTAAATTTTCCCTGATAAATAGTACTGGTGCATAAATGCCTGCAGGCAGGCTCAGTGCTGCTGTGCCTCCCCTCCCCACCCCAGCTGGGATGGGTGGTTATGGACTGGACCTTATAAGGTGAAGAGGGCAAAAGCTGCTTGGGCATGAACAACTGCCAGGTTTCAGTGCTTCCCAGTGTTGGCTTTTCCACCTACAAAAGTAAAACCTATCACAGCTCTTCTCAAGCTAAAGCACATGCTTTGGTTTGCAGAGGCTTAAATTGCTTCTATTCTGCCTCCTTCTTTTTTTTTTTCCACGTAGTTTCACCTACTTCTAATAAGCCTTGTATTTTTGCCTCTGCAGCTGTTGTCCTGAGTGCCTTTGTTGTGCTTGAACTGCTCACTGTTGTGAGGGGTATTTAACATCCAGGCTTCTGGAAAGATGTGGCTTTCTGGTAAAAGAACTTTTTGGAAAAAAATGGTTTCTCCTGTACAGTGAAACAAAAGGAAGAGCTGCAAGTACAGGGAGGGGACTGAAATGTGGATGAAATGTTACAAATTCTCCACCAGCTGGGAATAGCAGGGCTCCATGGCAAAGCCCTCCTTTGTGAAGCTGAACTGTGTAGTAGTGTTAGCTGTGCATTTACCACATCACAGCAGTCATGTGCATACTGCAGTTTGCTACAGAGCTTTTGACAGCTTCTGGGTGCACAGCAGTGGCCTTTTTATGGTGCCTTGAAAACCTTAAAGCAGCAAGTAATTATTTCATATTATTATGAATTATATCCTATTATTTCATACTCATTCAAGACATAAATAATATTCAAGCAAACAGCTCCCTTGTGAAGTGCCAATATCACCAAATACCCTTTTTTACAGAAAATCTTCTCTTTGCTGTCATACCTTGAAGAGAAGACAGATGGGTTAAGAAAAGCACTTCAGCATATTAAGAAAGCCATACTTTTACTGCAGTACTCTGATAAAGAAGGTAGTTTGAAATAGGGAATTGCCTAAAATTAGAGCAGGAACCAGGACTCTTGTGTTCAATGTCTGTGTTTGGCTCACTTAATTCATATTAACTGATACAGCTTGAGAATCTTGAGCTGAGATCCCTCTGCCCTTTGGTGATCAAACAGCAGCAGTTGCTTGGAGCATTTTTTGGCTTACCAGGGAAAGATGGGACCGCCATTTTTGTGGTTACATTTTTTTGCTGCCTTAAAGACTTTAACCCAGCTGTGTGCTTTAGAGTATACCTTAAGTCAGCTGGAAAATTGAAACTGGTCCTGCACATCATGTCCATCATGCTAAGCACTTTGTCCCTCTAGAACCAAGTGGCTTCAGCTGTTTAAGCTCTCCCTGGACTTGTTAGACATTGATTTCTGAGCAAAATTCAATCTGTTCAATTTTGAATAGATTAGATCTGCTGAATTTTGAGAAAGACTGCCAGGACAATCTTTTCCTACATGGTGAAACTTGTATTAGCACTGGTAGACAAGGAGGAATTTTGTTTGAATCTGCTTGTGTCACTGATAAGTTATTACTGAGTGTTTCCTGATGTGGTCAGATTTTATATGGACTCATGATTTGTAGAAGACTGTAGAACTAATGGTAAAAACCTTCAACAGATTTATTTGAACTGAAATAACAAAGCTTTAATGTTGCAGAAGTTGGCTTAAATGTATATGAAGATATTTTCTTTAAAATGTTTACAATTATGTTATAATTGTAGTAGTATAATTGTAACTATAATTTAATAAGTTTAACAGTAAATTAAGTAATAAAACAGTAAGTCATAACACATTTTCTTTCCTGAATGCCCTCATCCAGGTTTCTCCCATCTCGACGTAATGCTTGTGGAGTGCTACGATCCAAAAGGTGACCAGTGGAATATCCTGCAGACTCCTATTCTGGAAGGTCGCAGTGGCCCTGGCTGTGCAGTCCTTGATGACAGTATTTACCTTGTAGGAGGCTACAGCTGGAGTATGGTGTGTACCTGCTTTCTACAATCACCCTTCTGTTCCTTCTGAGTTCTTGTGGCCAGTCCATGTAGTATGTACATGGGATGGAGAGAAGAGGGGAATTAGCTACAGGGGCAGGTTCACTTGGTTTTCAGCGTATAGAGAACATGGAGTGTTTTTTTTACCTTTGTGCTTCTCTATTTGGATCAGTTATTATTACACTCTATTCGCTGATAATGGAGTAATTTAAAAATCAGAAGGAATTTTGAAAAAGTGATTGATGGGACTGTATGCTGGGACTGTGTGCTTACAGCTCTGCATATGAGGTGCTTGTAAAGGAGACTGATTTTCAGAGGTTGGGTGCTGAAAAAACTGAAACCTCTTGAAGAGCTTCTAAGTTTGAGTGACCCCGAGTCACTTCAAACATCATTAGAGCTGATGTGTGACTTGGGTTTTACCAAAGCCACATTTAATATGACATTTTGTTCTACTACCAGGGAGCCTACAAATCTTCTACCATTTGCTACAGTCCTGAGAAGGGGACCTGGACAGAGCTGGAAGGTGATGTTGCGGAGCCCCTGGCAGGACCTGCGTGTTCAACTGTGGTATTGCCGGCCTGCGTCCCGTACAACAAGTGATGGGCCAGGAGCACTGACACGAACACTGAGTGCATTTGGGAAAATAATGACGGGTGACGTAAATATTTTATTAGAACACAGTTCCTGGTAAAACAAAGCTACCATAATTGACCCCTCATTCCATGTTTATGCTTTAGGAGCAAACTAAAAGAAAAGAAAAACCAAGCGTTGTCCCATCCCAGATAGGTGCCGGTGTCTTATGAAGCGAGAAGCTAAAACACACCGAACATTACATGCTGACAGACTGCCATTTCAGACTGATTTAAACTTTTACTGCTGCAGAGACACTCCTCACATCAAATTTAACTTAAAAAAAAAATGATGGCTAACTGTTCAAATAGAGCCTGAAGAGACAAGATCAGTATTGTGCATTGTATCTACCTGCATGTGATCTGTGTTGAAGTCATGAGGATGTTGTTTTCATGAATGTTTCAGAATTCAGATAGTGAAAAGCTCACACTGCATTGCAGAATTGTCTCCTCCTCTGTAATCCTAACCTACAACTACTTCATATGCTCTGCAAGCAACACAGCATCAGAAGATTATAAAAGGTAAAGAAATATCATTCAGTTTTTGCACAGCTTGGCAACTAATACACTCTGCCTTCAAAGTCCCCATGTGCAAGTGCAGCAGAAAGCAGACTACAATGAAAGCTATGCTTTACAGAGCACTTCTTGCAATAGCAGCTTAGGGATTAGGATCAAATTCTGCTAATCACACTTGTGTAAAGTCAGAACCATTTCACTGAAATCACATGGAATGACTGGTTCTACATTAGTATAACAGAATTTGGATCCTACAGCTTAAAAGGTGGTTTTGAAAAGTAAGTTATTTCTATGACCACTTAACGAAGCACCAGAAACCTTACTTCCTTTTCACTAACCTGTTAGATGTCAAGTTCTTTCCAAAGACAAGAAGACTGCATTTAATCGTAAATTTATTGCTTTGGACCCTAAAATGCTTATGCACATTTTTGGAGAGACACTGGTAAGTAGTTAAAGTAGTCCTGTGTGGTTGATCTTAAGATGCACTCTGAGAGAGTTTTACTATTGATCCAAAGTAATATAAGGCTAGACTTTCCACTACCTTATAGCCTGTGTAATTATTTACACACTGCAAAGCGAGTTCAGAATGCTCCCACATGGGACCAGTAGCATTTAGGACTTGCTTCATGAAGTCATAGCTGCTTGCACAAATCAGATTATCTATGTGTTAAGCTTATGTCTTTCTGTCCTGGCTTTGCAAAAGCAGTGACAAAATCTGAGCCTGATTCTTCACCACCTTGCAGCTAACAGACCTAATCATCTGCACCTCATTAAAGTATGTGCATAATTCTTCTACTGTGCTTTACTAGTGCTGCATCCATCACTCTCAGGACCATCCTCTTTACTGGTGTAAACTGACATTGCTCCATCAAAGCCAATGGATGTACTTTATGTCAGATAAATATCTGGCCTTTAATTTGCCTAGTTGTAGCTGGCTGCACCAGATGAAGGCAAAGGACACTGCGATCCTGCATTTTTAGCCCTGCACATATCTTTCACGAGAGGACTTAATGCTAGTGCATTAAACAAGGAGCAGGCAGCTACTGGAGGTTGGTTTCAGCTGCAGAGGCAATAGATGGGAAAAAGACTTCATTACTTGCTTTGCAAAATAGAAAAAGGGTGAATGTACACAGAAATTACACTATATATTGATGCTTGAGAGCAGTATAAATAACGGAGAGCAAATATCATGGGACTGTTTCTCTCTGGCGTCAGTCCAATTTTATTGCAACTCCCTTGCTTGCAGCAGAATTACACAACTTGTAAAATTGGAGTAATGCAGTAAAGACTGGTACCACACAAATGCAATAATCCAATTGATGAGGTAGCTGCACGGCTGGAAAAAAATGTTTAAACAAAATAATTATCTGAAGATGCTAATATTTGAATGTGCCCTTGGGGAGTTCTCCAGTGAGCATCTCTAAGGAACTCATAAAGGTGGAGTGTATATCCTGAAATCTCAATCCATTTCTCCTACATAGTGCAATCTTAGTTGGTTTTGTATTTATTTATATTGTTCAGATCCAAGGGATCCCTTGTAAAATATATTTGGTGCAATCATGACTTTTCTTCCTTTCCTGTTGAAAGTATATAAATATAAATATATATAAAAAAGGAAACCGTTAAGATACTAAATGAGGAAACCTTGTATGACATTTAAAAGGTCTGCCACTGAACATTGACTGTCACCTATCTCTACTAAAATGTACCATTTTTAAAGGATACTTCTTGTCCTTTTAAATGGTTCCTTTTTTTTACCAAGATAATTTAAAGATTTATGAGGACTGTATCTAAATCTTTCTATCTATCAGGAAGGCATGACCAAGGAAACAATGCTAACTAAATAAGTCACACAAAGAATGTAAATTTTGTACAGTACTAGACTGTGTAAATGAAGCTTGCTTGTAGGGGGGAAACTTTAAATAAAACTTTATGTACTAATTCAACTGTCTGCCATATTCCTACTTATAAAGTGTATGTATAAATAATATCTACATTAAATTCTTTGGAACTTTTTTTATCATGTAGATGTGTGAACTTCCTTTATTTTCTGGTGTTACATAATGGCCTCATTATTTTACAAGTGTCATTACTCAGTGCTTGTCAGTGCAGTGACCACAGTAAAAGGCGGGTCTGTAGTGAGTCGGTCTTCCCCAGAGCACAGTGCCTGGCCTGGGAAAGCAGCACCTTTTTCCAGCAGGGAAAGCTCCACCCCTGTGCCTGCTCTCACTGGAGATGCCACTGCATGCCTGTGAAATGCTTCCTTTGTTCCTCTGTCCCACAGTAAGTGAAAAGGACCCTGCTTTGTTAAGCCCAGTCTTGCTTTGGGGAATTTAGTGCTTGTGGCAACTTCATACCTCTTCAAAATGTTCCTCCTATGACAATTGACCCTTCTGACTGTGGGTATTTCAGTTCTTGGAGGGAAAGTGTTGGCTTGGGTGTGCTGTAAAGGACAAGAGGTATTGTGAGGCTAAGACAAGGTAAAAGCAGGAGGTTCTCCCAGGAAGCAGAAGCATCATCAATGCCAGTTACTATTCATGCAGTGTTTATTTGTGCCTGCAAACCTTGATCAGGGACCATTATCTGCCTATGCAAACCAGAGGGCTGCACTGAGCAAAGTGGTCCCTGTATTTAAAGCAGGTGTGGACTGTACTGGATAGCACTAAGATAGCACAATGAATAGAATTGTTTCATTAATGAGTTTATTGCAGCAGAGCAAGGAAGGGAGATTTATGCTTTTTTTAAGTAGTGTGGGAGAAGGATGAAGAGGAGAAACTGGAAACAATGGGCAGAGATAAGATTTAGAAAAGAAAGGAACAAAGTAAACAAAAGGAAAAATCGAAAATGAGACTGTGAAAGGAGAAGGTGGGATGTTTTTAAGAATCAAGGGCACAGAAAAAAATCAGGATTAATGAGGAAAGCAAAAATGGTTTTTGAGAAGCACATATCAGAACAAGGCTGGAAAAAAACTAGAGGAAAAGCAATACAAAGGGAAGAAGAGAAACATAAGAAAATTCAATAGAAGACAATATGAGATAAATATGAAACTAACTAAAAAAGCCCTTGGGTGATGGTATTCAGCTAATCATTTTCAGTGGTCCTGCTGTTAAGCAGAAGGATAAATCAGCAGAGTACTTAGGTGTTGCAGTGTTCAAGTTTTAATGCACAGACTTCAGCACAACAAAACCTATCAAAGAGCTGCCCAGTGACACCTCTCTGCAGGGCCTGGGCTGTGGCAAACACCCAACCACAGCCAGCCCCTGTGACAAGGGAAAAGAACTGATGCTGGTGGTGGGAAGCACAAGAAGAGCAGATGAGCCACAATTCCCGGTCCCAGCTGCATTGAGAGCCCTTTCCATTTCTGATTCTCTGATGAGAGTCCTATTTGGGAGCTGGACACATGGATTTGTTCCCTATTTCTCTTTCTCTGCTGCCCTTCCTGCCAAACCTTAATCTTCTCCATTTCATCCTCAGCATGACAAACTTGCCTAGGTGCTTTTGCAGAGTGGGACCTGGAAAACAACAGATTGGTGACTGAGGGTGTTTTCCTGATCTTGAGATATGGTCCCATCCATTGGGTGACAAGTGTGAGAAGTATGATTTGCTGGTGACTTCCAGCCTGTACCCATGCCCTTAAGAATACCCAAAGAGGGCATTTGAAAAATATGCTTTTCAATAATTACAGTGCTGTCTTTGAAGGTACTCTGCACCCCCCTCCCAAAAGCTGGCATTGCTTTCTGTCATGTGTTTATCCCTCTTTCTGCTTTTAATACAATGATTTCCTCTGCTAGCTACATCTGTGAGCCAATTTGTAAGAAAAAAATCCATGCCAAACCTCATTATAAATACTGGTTTCTATTGTATTATAATCACTCATCAATAAAGTACTCTATATCCCTTGCTTTTAAGAGAGAGGCCATATTTCAATTTAAATAGAGCTTTCTGGTGCAGACAAAGGAGAAAGAAATCCCCAACAGTGCTAAAAGGCCCAAGGTAAGTGCCAATGCACACACTCCAGGGCAGTTTTAAGATGCACATTTAATTTCTGTTATTAGTGCAGCAGAGGAGAGGAGTCAGTGTTTCAGCCTCTCGGGTCCAGTCCAAGGAAGCAGTGACAGCAGCACTGGAGGTCAGGGGGGTTTGCAGGAAGGGAAAGCACACTAATGAATTCTGGAGGGCTTGTAATGCCATAAAAGATTCAGTTAATCTGCAGCATAGATGTTGATCAGCAAAACTGAACCTAAGTCTCTGGACCTTGTCAGATGTATTCTGTGCATGTCAGTGTTCCACACCAATTACAGATTTTAGAAGATGCTCTCATGCAAAACTATGCACCCTAATATATAAGCCAGCTCAGATGTAACTGAAATTAAAATCTGACTGTGGCAAATCTCTGTGATCCTGATATATGAAAATCCAAATAAATGATTTGTTCCCAGAAATGAAAAATAACTT